CCAGGGCTCCGCCTGCCGCAGGTCCCACCCAGGTCCCGGGCCCCGCCCTCACGCGCCCGTGCCCGCTCCCAGGGCAGCGTCTACATCAACGACTTTGCGCGTGTGCTGAGCAGCGACCACGAGGCTGTGAACGGCGTCCTGCACTTCATCGACCGTGTCCTGCTGCCGCCCGACGCGCTGCACTGGAAGCCCGACGCCGCTCCAGCTCCACCGGTATGGCCCGGGCCGGGACTGGAGGCCGGGAGGCAGGAAGGCGGCTGGGAGCCTGGCCGCGTGCACCTGGTTGCTCACGCGTGCCTTTCCTCAGCGAAACGTCACCGCTGCTGCAGACAGCTTTGGCTATAAGATCTTCAGTGGCCTCCTGAAGGTACGGCCCTGGCGTGCTGCTCCCCAGTGGTGCACGTGAGCCCGTGGTGTGGGTGTGTGACATCTGTGTGCAGTGGTGTGCATGCACCCCCTTCAGTGTGTACACTGCTATGCATGAAGACATCGTGTGCCTTGTCTGTGCGTCTGCATCTGTGTCTGTGGGGATGACCGGGGAGGGGGCCCTGGTAGCCCCTCCTCACTATGCCACCCGGCCCCTCCCACCCACCATCCTCTGGCTGGGTTGTGACTGGCACACCCTTACCTGATCCCACCAGGTGGCTGGCCTCCTGCCTTTGCTTCAAGACGTGTCCCACGGGCCTTTCACGATGCTGTGGCCCACAGACTCAGCCTTGCGAGCCCTGCCCCCAGAGCGCCAGGCCTGGCTATACCACGAGGCACATCGGGCCAAGCTGGCAGCCGTTCTGCGCGGCCACGTGATCTACAACATGGAGGTGAGTGCACCCCCAGACCTCTCCTGCCCCACCCCCTGCCGGTCGGCACCCGCTTCCAACTGTGGCTCACTCTGTCGTCAGGCCTTGGCATCTGACCTGCCCAACCTGGGCCCGCTCCGCACCATGCACGGGACCCCGGTCTCCTTCTCCTGCAGCCTCTCCCGGCCCGTGAGTCTGGGGAGTCCCTCGGTGGGGAGGAGCGAGGCCAGGGCCCTGGCGGCGGGTCAGGGCGCAGGGGCACCTGTGGCCCCCAAACACCCCACCCTCTCCCAGCACAGGGCGAACTCCTGGTGGGTGAGGGCGAGGCCCAAATTGTGCAGCGGTACCTGCGCTTCGAGGGTGGCCTGGCCTATGGCATTGACCGGCTGCTGGAGCCGCCCGGCCTGGGTGCTCGTTGTGACCGCCTGGAGAACCAGCTGGTGCAGAAGGTGAGCGAGGCCTTAGGCCCTGGGTGGAGGGGCAGGAAACAGGCCACAAGTCGGTCCTGTCCTTCTGACCTTGTCTCGTGACCCTCCAGGCCTGCGGCATCTGTGGGATGGAGCCGCCTTGCCCCCAGGGCTGGAAGGAACAGGTGAGGGCCTAGGGGCCTCGGCAGGACCTAGGGCCCCCAAGCTCTGCCTGTTGGCACACTGACTCTCTTCTCGGCCCAGGGCAACCCTGAGGCCTGCTGGCACATCTACACCAAGTTCCGGGCCCCCTTTTCACTGCGCCCGTGGGCCCACAGCAGCCTCTGGGGGCGGCCCAGCCTCTGGGGTCAATCCCAGAGCCTGGGCCGGGGCTGCCGCCGAAACTGTGTCACCACCATCTGGAAGCCCAGCTGCTGCTCCGGCCACTATGGTAGCGAGTGCAGAGGTGAGGGCCCCAGGGTCTCTGGTAGTGCTGACCGTTGTCCCTGAGAAACGCTCTTGGGGTGGCCAGGGGCAAGTCTGGAGGCCCAGTGGGTTTTATGGGGAGGGCGTGCTCTGCCGTGGGTGGGTAAGTAGCAGTGCAGGGCCTGGTGGGATTCTGGGGGCGGGTCCTGGCTGCTCTCCAGGTCCAGGGAGCCTGGAATGTTCTCTCAGCAGGTGGGGGTTTGGGTGGGCTGGTGTTTCCGGAAGAGCCTCGGTCACCCCTCGGTGGAGGGTGGAGTGTGTGGGGAGTCCTGATGAGCAGCAGCCGCTGGCTGCCCCTGACCATCCCCCCATGTCCCAGCATGCCCCGGGGGCCCCAGCAGCCCTTGCAGTGACCATGGAGTGTGTGCAGATGGCATGAGCGGCAGCGGACAGTGCAAGTGCCGCCCAGGTTTCGCTGGGACAGCGTGTGAGCTCTGCGCCCCAGGTGCTTTTGGGCCCCTTTGCCAAGGTAGGCCAGCTATGCCCCGCCCCGCCCCTCCCCGCCCCGCGGGGCTGATTCCCTGATCCCAGCACCCACGGAGCTCCATGCCCGCAGCCTGCCGCTGCGCCTCCCATGGGCACTGTGACGAAGGCCTTGGGGGCTCCGGGGCCTGCTTCTGTGATGAGGGTTGGACCGGGCCCACCTGCCAGGTGCAGCTGGGTGAGTGGCCTCTAGGCCTGTGTTCCAGAGGGTGCAGGCTCGGGGGGAGGCACTGTGGGTGGGGAGAGGGAGGGCCAGGAGGACAGCGACTGACCTGGATGTCTGGGGCCGGGCGGTGCGCACAGTGCTGCAGCCTGTGTGCACACCCCCCTGCGCCCCCCAGGCCGTGTGCCGTGGGAACAACAGCTGCGAGTGCAGCCTGGGCTACGAAGGGGATGGCCGCGTGTGCACAGGTGAGCGCACAGGTGATCAGGCTGTGGAGGTGGGGGTGCCCTCACCCTCCTTGGGTCGCCTGGTGCAAACTCCAACCCCTGCTCCTGCTCCCAGTGGTAGACCTGTGCCAGGATGGGCATGGTGGCTGCAGTGAGCATGCCAGCTGCAGCCAGGTGGGCACAGTGGTGACCTGCACTTGCCTGCCTGACTACGAGGGGGACGGCTGGATCTGCCAGGCCCGCAACCCTTGTGAGGACGGCCACCGTGGGGGCTGCAGTGAGCATGCTGACTGCCAAAGCACTGGGCCGGTGAGCAGGCAGGAAGCCCAGTGGTTGGGGGCGAGGTGGAGGTGTGCCCTGCAGCCCCACTAGGACGCCGTCCACTTCCCCTTCACAGAACACGCGGCGCTGTGAGTGCCACACTGGCTATGTGGGGGATGGGCTGCAGTGTCTGCCAGAGCCCGAGCTGCCAGTGGACCGCTGCCTGGATCAGCCCCGGCCCTGCCATGCCGACGCTACATGCACTGACCTGAACTTCCAGGGTGCGTTGGTTCCCCTGCCTACCCCATGCCCGTTCTGTCTCCGGGTGCCTGCCAGCTGACCGACCATGAGCCCCTTCCTCTGCAGAGAAACGGGCTGGGGTTTTCCACCTGCAGGCCAGCAGTGGTCCTTATGGCCTGACCTTCTCTGAGGCTGAGGCGGCATGTGGGGCCCAGGGGGCCGTCCTGGCATCGTTGTCCCAGCTTTCTGCTGCCCAGCAGGTATGTCAGGGTGCACTGGGGGGGCCCTCAGAGCCCGGCTGCATCTCAGTGTCCCCCCTCCTCCCTGCAGCTGGGCTTGCACCTGTGTCTCGTGGGCTGGCTAGCCAATGGCTCGGCCGGCCACCCTGTCGTCTTCCCCGCGGCTGACTGTGGTAACGGGCGGGTGGGCGTTGTCAGCCTGGGCACTCGTCAGAACCTCTCGGAGAGCTGGGATGCCTACTGTTATCGCACACAAGGTGTGTCCACCTCTGTGCCCTGCCCCTGCCCCTCCTCCTCTGCCGAGCCACTGACCCGCCCGCCCACCTGCCTTCCCAGACGTGGAATGCCAGTGCCGGGACGGCTTCGTGGGTGACGGGGCTGCTGTGTGCAATGGGAAGCTGCTTGATGTCCTGGCTGCCACTGCCAACTTCTCCACGTTCTATGCGGTGGGTGGGCCACCGGGGGGAGGCTGGTGGGAGCTCGCTTCCCGGGAAGGGCATCTGCCCTCACCCCTATCCTCCCGGCCCCCCAGATGATCTTAGATTATGCCAATGCCACCCAGCGAGGTCTCGACTTCCTGGGCTTCCTGAGCGACGAGTCCACCTTGAAGACGCTCTTTGTCCCCGTCAATGAAGGCTTTCCGGACAACATGGTAGCAAGGGACGGGGGCAGTGTAGGGCCCGCCTCTGCCCCTTTGGCCGGCCCAGGCCAATAGGGCTGCTTTGTCCCCAGACACTGAGTGGGCCGGACCTGGAGCTGCACGCTGCCAACACCACCTTCCTGAGTGCCAATGCTAGCCAGGGGGCTCTACTCCCCGCCCACTCGGGCCTCAGCCTTGTCATTGCCAGTGGGGGCAACAGTTCTCAGCCCTCTGTGGTGAGTTGGCGGCTGCCCTGCCCCCCCCCCCTCCGGCAGGCTGGCCCAGACGCTGATCCTTTTCCCCAGGTCCCAGGAGCGGTGGTGGTTGGCAGTGTCATTCAGTGGGACATAGTGGCCGTCAACGGCATCATCCACGCTCTGGCCAGCCCCCTCCTGGCCCCTCCACAGGCGGTGAGCCGGGCGAGGTGGGCAGGGCCTGTGAGGTGGTGGGGACACCGCTGGCCAAGTGCCTAACCTTTCTGGGTGCCACAGAAGACAGTGCGGGCCCCAGAGGCACCTCCGGTGGCAGCAGGCGTGGGGGCTATGGTGGCTGCTGGAGCCCTGCTCGGCCTGGCAGCTGGGGGCCTCTACTTCCGGGCTCGAGGCAAGACCCCAGGCTTTGGTTTCTCAACCTTCCAGGTAGGGCTGGGCTGGACTTGGGGGGGGCTGTGCTCTGGGCGGCCGGCACCTCCGGCCTCACTCGGGACCCCTTCCTGCCACTAGGCAGAGGCTGACGCCAATGACGACTTCTCCCCGTGGCAGGAGGGGACCAGCCCTGCCCTGGTCTCTGTCCCCAACCCTGTCTTTGGCAGCCCCGACGATGTCTGTGAGCCCTTCGATGTGAGTGGGGGTTAATGGGGTGTGGGGGGGCACGGCAGCAGACCCGGCCCCCACCCGCTATAAATGGCCCTCCCCGCGCAGGACTTGCTCCTGGACCAGGACTTCCCAGACACCCGGAGCATCCTGGCGGTCACGTGACGACGCGAGGATGAGCAGCAGGAAGGGGCACGGCCTTTATTGCCTCCCTCCCTCCCTCCCCTCCCGGACAATAAAGGTGGCTGCTCAGCGGATATGGGCCATGTCCCCGAGGAAGGGGGTCTTCATGCAGCCGGTGCAGAGCTGGTCCATCCAGAGGGGCGCCTCGTGCTGCAGGGGCGTGCGGCGCGGGTAGAAGGTGAAGTCCACACGGTAGTTGAGCAGGCAGCTGAGCGAGGCCATGTACAGGTCGGAGAAGCGCACGAGGCGCCGGGAGAAGTAGGTGGGGTTGTGGAAGGTGCGGAAGATGCTCCCAAACTGCGCGTTGAACAGGGCTTTGGTGACGCACCTGTGGACGGGGCCAGGGGCAGGGTTCCGGCAGTGGCACGGGCGGGGCGGGGTGGGGGCTGCCCAGGCTCCACCCTGCTTACCTCAGCTCCTGCCGCTCCTTCACCCAGGCCGCCAGCACCTGCCGCGACTCTGCGTCCTCATAGGTCTGGGGGACAGTGGGGCCAGCTCGATGGGCACGCACCCACGGCGTGGTGGCAGCCGCGCCCCAGCCCCCGCCCCTGCCCCCGCACCTGCATGCGCTCCAGCAGCCCGGTGAGCGCCTGCTGCCAGGTCAGCGAGTGCATGTACTGCTCCGTGTTGATGATGCGGATCTCCCGCTCCAGCTCGGGGATGATGGCGCCCGTGCGCCAGCCATGCCGCAGCATCAGGTCCTGGGATATGCGCAGGCGCGCGCGCACACACACACAGACTCAGTGCCCACCCAGGCTCAGCGCCCGCGGCAAGAACCCAACATCTGCCCCCGCTCACCGCCAGGTCACTGTAGAGGTGGTCTCCAAAGTAGAGCACCCGTGGCCCCCGCCACTCCGTCAGGCGAAGGAAGTCAAACAGGTTTCCCTGCGGGGAGGGGTGGCACTATGGGGCTGCTGGAACCGGGCCTTGACCCCCACCCGGACCTCAGGTCCCCACAGGCGGTGAGGCCCCTCTGGCCGGATGCAGGCTGCCCTTTCCCATGGCCCTGCTGTGCTCTGGGCCACACTGGGCCCCTTCACACCCAGGGAGAGAGGGGGCCGGATGGCCTGCCTTGAAAGGACCCTGTAGTGCTGGCAGTGTCCTGGACCTCAGGGGCCTCTTCTCCATGGGGTCTCACGCCCACCCGGGCTGAAGGTCAAGTCCACCCAACGTGGGAAACACTGCACAGAGGCCCTAAGGGAGGGGCCCTGACCCCAGCTCAGTGGGAAGCCGCTGATCAAGGGCCAGGCAAGCTCCCAGTGGGACCAGCTGCCCTCCCTGCCGCAGGGCCACGGACACCACACACAGTAAGCGGGGCTCCCACACAGCCGCAGAGCTTGAGGGGCAGACAGGGCCAGAGCAGCAGGTGTGCAGCCAGCAAGGGCAGGAGTCCACTCCCCAGGGTGAGAAGAACTCACAGAACAGAGCAGTCTGCGTCCGAGAGGCTCAGAGGAAACCCCGGGGGACACAGGTGGTCTTGAAAGAACTTAACTGTTGGAAGGAGCTCAAGTTGAGAGGCTGAGGAGCAGGCGGGCCTGCTGGAGGGGGGCGAGGAGAAAAACCAGAGACGCCCCACTGAGCCCAAAGCAAGCACCTTGAGGGGCAGGTGTGAGCCAGGCCAGAGGGAGCCTGGGGCTCCCACAAGAGCCGAAGGCAAGGCAGGAGACCAGCACCCAGAGTGAGGGTCCAGGGAACCCGCACGTGCACACACACCATGCGTGTATACACACACAGAGACTCTCACTCAACTTTCAGAACAGGTATAAAGGACAACCTAAAAGCTGCCAAGGGAGAAAAGACATTTCCCACCAGGAAGCAGGGCTGCTACAAGCCAAGAATGCTTAGACAAAGCAGAGTTGTCTGTCCTCTAAGCCAAGGGGAGGTGGGACGCAGGGAAGGAGCTGGTCAGAAGTGGATGGGGTGGAATGTGCTCCTTGAGTTGTGGCCCTGCCCCAACTGCTGGCTCCCCTGCCCTCCGACACCCCCCTTTCCCCAAAACCCGCCCAGCTTAGCCAGGATTTCCGCATTCCACCCAAGGCTAAATGTCCTAACACCTCTGCAGACCTACAATCACCTGCTCCTGCAAGCCAGCCCAGCTTAGGGCCCCCACACATGGGTTCCGGCTGCAGTACTGGGCCGGCCGGCCATGTCCTGTGCATAGCGGTTTGGGGCCACTCTAAGGGTATCCCTCCCCAAACAGGGTTGTGGGTGTTACTGGGCCTCTTCAAAGACAGGAGAGCCAGGCTCAGAGAGACCAGGTAACCACAACAGTAGCTAGGACTCATACCTCAGGCAGCCCTCCCGATCACTGCCCAGACCACCCCACCTCTACCAGCTTCTCTGTGGTGACCCCTGGATGGGAGACAGGCATGGGATGCTGCTCTCCTGGTGGGTCCCCGCACCAGCCCTGGCCAGGACGGCTCTCACCTGCCGGTAGATCTTGCCCTTCTCCAAGCTGGTGATCCGGTCCCACTGCAGAGAACCCATCTCGTCAAGCTTTCTGAACGGCCTGGCAGAAGAGGCATGGGAGCTGCCAGGGGGGCCGGCACCTCCCCGCTCTCCCACAAAGGCTCACCTGCTCCAGTGGGCCACAAGCCAGCAGGGGGTGTCCTCCCGCAAACACAAGGGCCAGACTGGCCTTCCGCCCAAACTTCCCCAGTCCCCACTGCCCAGCCTGGCCCAGGGCCCTACTTGCGCCGGTCAGTGAAAAAGCTGGGCTTGTCCGCCTGGACGATGACCACATCAAAGAGCTGCCGCCAGTCGGGGCCCACCATGTGCCTCATGCCCTTGTCCCTGTGGAGGTGGC